CTCCCACCCCCTCCAGGCTGCTGGGATGGGGGCTCCCACCACCCCCATGAGGCTGGTGGGATGGGGGATCCCACCTCCCCCAGGCTGCTGGGATGGGGCTCCCACCTTCCCCGAGGATGCTGGGATGGGGCTCCCACCTTCCCCTGAGGCTGCTGGGGCTGGGGGCTCCCGTGACGGGTGCCGGGGCCAGGCCTCCAGAGAGGCAGAGACGGTCCCATTTTAGGGGCTGCCACCCCAGCTTTTTCCTGGGTGTGCTCTGTGGCCTGGAAGGAGCAAAATTTCTCTGAATCCCCATTTCCCTATCCATAGTCCTGCCTCCAGGCACCAGGGGAGGCCCAAAGGAGGTACCTAATGAATGAAAGAGAGCTTCCTAAGATGTCCTCCGGGGAAGGGATGGGGACGGACGCAGCGATCAGCCTGTTCCATGCGTCTGGGTGGGCTTCTGGCCCAGGATCTATCAACTTGCTATGGGACCTTGATCCAGTCGCTTTCCCTCCCTGAACCTGTGAAATACAGTGAACGAGCACCAGCCCCTATTTGATTGTCACCGTGGCCCTAGGAGTGGCAGAGGAGAGCAGAGCTGAGGGTTTCGTATTAGGAAGGAGGAGAGTGAGGCTTGCGCTGGGAGCCAGGGGTCCTGGGTTCTCGGTCCAGCTGTTGCTGTCTCTGCTGAGGATCCTGCCTCGTTTTGGCCTCGGTTCCCACAGCTGGACCCAGGCCCTCCATCTCTGCGGTCACTGGACCTCATTCCTCCTCCCGCCAACCCAACAGTGACTCATCCCTCATCATCACGCTGTGTGGCCAGAGCGCGGCCTGGGTGGGGGCCAGCAAGGCTGAGAACTCAGAGGAAACCACAGGCCTGGCCCAGCTGGCAGGTGGCAGGTGGGCAGGCAGCAGGGATCCTCAGCCATGGGGGCCCTGCCCTTAAACTCATCGCCCACCAAGAGCCCAAGCTAAGCTCCCAGCCCCTCCGAGCCCTGACTAACCACCCACCAGGCTCAGACCCCAGAGTCACCCACTCCGTGTGGCACCTGCTACAGCAGGACTCTGTACCCACTGCTGGGAAGAGGGCAGGGGTGGCGGTGAGGACCCGGGCCCCACCCATGGGGTGGTCACTGTGGGCTCGGCCGAGGCCCAGAGGCAGGGGACCAGCGTTCATCACAGAGACAGGGGAGGTAGGGAGGGGGTGAACTGTCGTGGTCTCGGTCTATGGGCAAGTCCAAGCTTCTCAGGGGGCCGGCAGCGCAGCAGTTAAGGGCATGGGCTCTGGGCCTAGACTGGGTACAAATCCTGGCTCTGCCACTGACCAGCTATAGGACCCTGAGCAAGTGGCTTATCCTCCAGGAGGCTTGGCTTTCCCTTCTGAGACACAGACACAACACAACGCCGGCCATGCAGCGCCATCCTGAGCAGTGGGTGCAATCGTGAGCACAGAGCTGTCCGGCACCCGGAAGATGCGCCGAGTACGGGAACTGCTGTCACTGCCGTTCCTGCTGGGGCCCAGAGCTATGCCTCCAGCAGGTGGACCAGCTGCCCTCCTTAGGTCGGTCCCACTGCTGGCCAATGTCCTCACAACCAGAAAGGCTGCACCCTTCTAGGGTTAAGCTCTCCTGCCACCCCACCCCCAGCAGCTGGGCCCCTCCTCTGCACTGCAGGCCTGTGGTGGGGCAGGTTGGGTCCAGCAGAGAACAGCTCTCTCCCGAGGCCTCCTGGGAGACCCCCCGCCCTGCAGGCCCAGCGAAGGCTGTGCCCTCTGCTGACGCCTTGCTCTGGTGAGAAGCAGGGTGGGTGCAGAGCAGAACCCTGAGCTGGGAGACAGAGTTCATGTCAAGGCCCAGCCTCTGACCTGTGGAGTATTCTTCAAGTTTCCTCCCCTCTGTGAGCCTCAGTGTCCCCCTTGGTAATAGGAACAGGAATAATCTCTACCACCTCACCTTTCTGAGAAGAGTAAATGAGCTAATACACATACACGTGCTTGGATAGAGCCTGGTACACAGTAATCGCCCAGTAAGTGTTCGCGGGTGCTGTGACCTCCCTCTCTCAGATGGGGAAACTGAGGCACAACGTAGGGAAGCCACTGGCCCAGATCATGCACCGGGCAGTGTGGCTCCTGAGGCTGCGCCGGCGACGATGACACTGGGAACCAACACGTCGCTAACTGGCGGGCATGCAGCAGCTCTCAGTGAATGGGGGTCGCCTGTGACTTCACCTGAATGAATGCAGAGAGACGGAGGCCACATCCGACCTGTACATTTATTTACAAGGCACAAGCTGAGAGCAGGTTGGGGGCTGCCCACGGCCTTTGCACTCCATCCTCCGGGGCCTGCTGGCTCTACCATCTGAGGCCCACGTGGCAGGGTGGGGGCCCACAGTGGCTGGGTTGAGCCAGCGAGGCCCTCAGGCAAGTTTGGGGGTGGTCTTCGGTGTCCCCCAGGCCGCTCCCTGCCCCCTCCGCCAGGCCTGGGCTGGGCGCCCTCTCTCTCACTCGGAGTTCCTGTGTGTTGGTGGTCGGCAAGGAAGGTGGGTGGGAGCTGGAGCTGGCCAGATGGTGTGCGCTGGGCCTTATCTGTTGGGTGTAGGGAGGCAGGCGTGGCGTGAAGATCCTCTTTCACAAAGCCGACTCTGTCTCCCGGCAGCTGGCCGCAGGGCTCCACTTGGTTGCCTTCCTGCCCCACCAAGAGCCTCCCATCCACAACCGGGGGAGCCCCACACGCTGGGACCCCAGCCCTCCCACTTCAGCTGAGAGCAAGCTCAGGCCAGGGGTGCCCGGGTGGGGCCAAGCAGGGGTCACCAGGCCACAGTTCCAAAGGGGGAGCCAGGGAAGGAGCAACGGGCCTGTGGCATCTGGGCGGTGGCCGATGGGCCAGAGCCCGTCTGGGGAGGCGTTAGCAGGATGGATCCAGGCCACATCCGAGGCAGCTTTCATCGGGGCAGCGGTGACCGTGTGGGGGCGTGGGGAGCCCCGAGCCTCCCGGCCTGGTGCAGCCTTGTCCTGCCCAGCCCACCCTGGGGTCTGGCCCTCCGCCCTGGCCTTCTGGGCTGTGAGGCCTCAGCCCCGGCCACCGTGGAGCTGCATCCAGGCCTCTGCCGCTTCTGGGGCTCAGACCCCCAGAGCCATCAGTGCCCCTGAGCTGCTGATCTTCTTGAAGCGATTGGCAGCGCTGACAGCAATGAAGTTTTTCTGGGGGCGGGTGGAGAGGGGTCCCAGTCACCATCGGGGCAGCTGAGTGTCTCCCAAAGTCCCCTTTATTGCAGGAGGGCCAGATGCCAGGGAGGGTGCAGTGCTCAAAATGGCCACAGGAGGCGCCATGACTGCATCCTCCAGGATTCCTTCCTTCCACAGATTTGTCAGCCAGACTAGCGCTCTGTCAAGGTGCTCCGAGTAAAAGATAAACCCCTCGCCATGGCCAATGAGCCCCTCCACACCCCGCCTCCCGCTCCTCTCTGCGCTCACTCCCCCACCCATTTGACTCTTCATCAGTCCTGGTTTCCTACCTGCTCCTCACACTCGCCAACCATGCTTCTACCTCAGGGCCTTTGCACTGGCTGTTCCGTCTGCCTGGGACACTCTCACCCCTCACCCCCTTCAGGTCCTTGTTCACATTCTCCCTCTCAGTGAGTCCTCCCTGAGCACCTATTTAGAAGTGCGACCTCTCCTCTCCTGAGTTCTTTCCAGAGCCCGTCCTTAACCCGTTTCCTATCTCCCGACACCCACCACCACCACCACCGGTAAGTCCACAAAGACTGAAATCCTTGTGTCTTACCCACTGTGTATCCCCAGTGCCTAGAGGTAGTAGAAGCTCAACAAACATTTGAAAAAGGAAGGAAGGAAGCCTGTGATGAGGTCAGAGACCTTGTCCTGACCCTGAGCCCCAGATGCACCCCCTCCTCAGGGTGGACGGGGTGGGTGGAAGTTCAGGAGCCAGCCCAGGACAACGAGAAAAGCCAACCCTGTTTTCCAGACAGGGCCAGGCCCGGTGGGCGGAACCTGCCCAGGCAGGGCTGCTGGGGCCCCGAACCTGGTGCCAGGAGCCCTTCCCGCCTTGCAGCCCCTCCCTTCACCCACCCCCAGCCCAGTGGTACCTTCCAGCGTCTCTTCATGAGGTATTTCTTAAGCAAGATCTGGGACTTGAGGCGTCGATTACAGCGCTTGGCTTTCTCTGCCAGGTTGTTGAGCCAGGGGTGGGCGAGGCACTGGGCAGCGCTCATGCGGTCCCTGCGGGGAGGGGGCGGCGTGGAGAGGGTGGGTGGCATGCCCACAGGCACTGGAGCCGAGCCGGCCTTCCAACCAGTTCCCACCCAGCCGGCACACGCATGCACTGGGCTCGCACTGTGGGGTTCGTGTCCTGTGGTGAGCCTCACCCCTGTTCCTTGACGATGAGGTGGGAGACAAAGTCTTTGGCCTCATCTGACACAGCCTCGAAGGTCTCCTCATCAAAGTACCAGTTGGCAGCTAGGACATTGTTTAGGGTCTCTGTGTCATCATCTCCCAGGAAGGGGGAGAGGCCGCTCAGCCTGGAGGGAGGGGATGGTGGAGGGCAGCGAGGTGAGACTAGAGATGCTAAGTCACCTTGGAGGGTTTGGGGGATGGGGATAGATCCTAGGAGGCAGCACCAGATGCTGAAAAGACCCCCAGCCTCTCACGGGGGACAGACCTGAGTTTGAATCTGGCTGGGTGACCTTGGGCAAGTCACTTCCCCTCTCTGAGCCTCACTCTTCTCATCTGTAAAATGGGCATAATCATCCCAGCTTCCCAGGGTTACAGTAAAGAAGAGGAATGGTGAGTGCACAAAAATGTCCACCACCCCTGTGCCCCCACCCGGGGTCATCAGAGATCTGCGGTCCAGAGCCCTGGGCTGGGATGCTACGCCTTTAGGGGCCTTGGTTTCTCCATTTGTAAAATGGGTGCAAAGTTCCCCTTTCCTGGTTCTCCCTAACACTCCCAACACCCAACAAAAGCCTGACTGAGTGAATGAGTGAGGTGAGACCACCTCACCAGGACCCCAAGGCCAGTGTTGGCCTCAGCTGCCCACACAGGCGCCCCAACCCCAGGAACACCACGCTCCCTTGGGGCTCACAGCATGTAGGTGATGACCCCCATACTCCACATGTCTGTCTTGTCGGAGATTTGGTCGTAATTCACCACCTCAGGAGACAGGAACTCTGGGGTCCCAAAATTCACCTTCATCTTCTCCTTGGGGTTATACCTGGGGGTGAGACCAAATGCTCAGAGCACAGCCCATGGCCAGGCACCCTGGACCTCTCCCTCGCCCTCTGCCCTCCTCAGAGGCTGGCCCTGGCCTCCCCCCCAGGTGGTACCTCCGTGCCAGGCCGAAGTCAATGATCTTCACCAAATGGCCGGTGTTGTTGACACACAGGATGTTCTCTGGCTGAGGAGAAGGGGTGGCCCGGGTTGGCCTCTGACCCGGCTCACCCTCCCTCCCCGTTCAAGTCCACCCGAGTCCCAGGTCCAGCCAGAGGCCCAGGCTGCCAGAGTTAGCAGCCCATCCCAGACCCCAGACCCGCCTGCTCCAGCTCAGACGTGGGACCTGAGCCCGAGAGGGATTGGGAGGAGGCCTCGCAGCACCAGGCTTTTGGGTGGGTGCAGACGGCACTTTCCCTCATCTCAGGCCATGAAAGAACAGGTTCTAGCAGTTCTGAGGATGGAGTGGTTCTGTGCCCTGGTGAGAGGCTAGTGCAGGCCACCGCCAGGTACGTGGAGCTCCAGGGACCAGAGAGAGAAAACACTAGCTCAGGGCCCCCAGAAGAAGCCTCTTGGTACAGAGGGCTTCGAGCTGCCCCTCGCATGCTCTAGAAGGGCTACTCTTGTCTCCCAGTTAGGGATGGTGACAACACCTACAACGTCCGGCCTAGCTCCTCAATCCTCCCGGCAGCTCTGAGGCAGAGACTGTCACTTTCCGTCCCCATTTCACAGCTGAGAAAACCGAGGCTCAGGCACAGAAGTGACTTGGCTACCGTCACCCAACAAGTGCGCTGGTCTTTTGGTATCAATCTGCCTGCCGCCACAGAGCACGCTACAGGGTAGGGGCCAGGCACACTGCGTGCTTTCGGTCTTCTCTCAGCCCCTTTGCTCCCCACCCTCAGTATCGAACAAAGACACCCATCAGTGCTCAGCCATGGCTCCCAGAGCCCTATGTGAGTGAAGTTACTGCAAGGCTAGTCCCTCCCCACTCTGGGTCTCCATATAACACAAGGACACTACCAGTTGATCATAAAATCTATCGTTTCCCCCAACCTGCTATCTACAAGGACTGAGCAAGGTCGGAAGAGGGATATCAATAGTCTTCCATTAAACACTTTTGTTAGCGCCTACTGTGTGCGTATTGCTGCACTGCCGCTAAACTGACTGATCTGTGTTTCTGACTCCCCTCCTGGAATTTTGTCTATTTTGTTCACCGCTGAATCTCCACCTGCTGGACCGCTGTCTGGTGTGGAGTCGGCCCTCAAGTATTTGTTGACTAAATAAACAAACACCTGCAGTGTCTTTCAGGGCCCAGCACAGAAGTAAGTGCTTTTGCAGCACTTATCAGTAAGTTCTTTGTGGGAGGCACAGCGCTTGGGGATCACAGGGCTGCAAAAGTATCTAGTATTAGATCCTAGAGCTCCTAAGAGCTAGGACCAAGTCTTTCGCTTTGTTTTCTGCCTCATTCTTTATTTCTGGGATTTAGTACGTGCTCAGTAAACCCTTTTTAAGTCTACAGGTGGGAGGATGGAGGGAGGGAGAGAAGAAGGGGTAGGAGGATGGGGGGTGGCTGCTTGCACCGCTGATTTCAAGTGGCCAGATGCTGCTACCGACCCTCCCAGGAGACCCAGCCCCAGTACCTTGAGGTCCAGGTGCAGAACCTGCATCTCATGCATGAAGAGGATCCCGTCGCAGATCTGCCTGACAAACACCATGGTGTCCACCTCGGTCAGCTGGTAGTCCTCGTCCACGATCCTCTCGAAGAGCTCGCCGCCCTCGATGCTGCGTGCACAGACCCCTCTACAGGCTGCTCTGGGCCCGCGGCACCCCCCGCCCTCCCCTACTGCGGGCACTCACTACTCCAAGAACAGGATGATGTCATGTGGGGTCTCGATGGCTGCGTAGAGCTGGATCAGATTGCGGTGGTTGAGCTGGTTCATAACCTCGATCTCAAGCATCACCATTTCCTGGGGACCAGGGAAGTCGGGAACCAGCCAAGTGTCATCACTCCCTGCCCTCCACCCTCCAGGCCTGCACCCTGACGGGAACCTGGCCTGGACCACTGCCCAGCCTCCTCCTCACTGGCCTCCTTGCCCACCCCCAAGCCTGTGTCCTCACCACCCCCGGTCCTTCCTGCTGGGATACCATTCCTTTGTAGTTCTTCCTCCCCTCCTGGCAGAATACTGGGAACCCAAGGGCCCAGACCTCCCCGCTCATCACTCCCCTCCCTACACACTCTCCCTGGGCATTCTCCTCACGCCCCATGACTAGATAACTCCACCCGTATGTGACCAATCTCCAAATACATATCTCCACCTCTGAGCACGCCCTTGAACTCAACATACCCCTTTCTCCAGCTGCCCAGCTGCCGTTTCCCTTGGATGTCTAGAGGCATCTCAGCTCTGTCAAGTCCAAAATGAAACCCTTGACACCACCCCTTCCCCACATTTGATCTTGTCCATTAGCAATAGGACATTGCTCTTCGCCCAGGTGTGCAGGACTACAAGTTAGGAGCAATCCCAGCTTCTTCTCTGAATCTTGCTTCCTCACACCCCATATCCAATCCGTTAGGAGATCTTCTGACTCTACCTTCAAACTAGACTACAAATCCAATGACTTCTCACCTCCTCCACCACTGCCTTCCTAGCCTAAGCCACCATTATCTGTCACTTTGAGAAAGTTTGCAAGCCAGTTGTCACATTGGTAGTTTGAAATCAGTTATGGTAGAAATATTTACACCACGGAAATGGGCAAATGCCACAAATCAGGCCTCTCCCTGAACTTTCCCCCCCAGGACATCGTATCACTACCTGAATCACTTCATCTCTCTCATTCCACTCCTCCATTCATGTCTCACCTTACACACACTCCTCAGAGAGGCCTAACCTCACCCCCCTCTCTCTGCACACCCCCTCACAGCTCCGCACTCCCTGTTTCTTACCTGCCTTTGTTTTTCTTCCTAGCACTTCTCAGTTCCTGGCACCAGGCTTTTGTTGCATTTTGCTTTTTAGTTGTCTGTTTCTCTTCTCTAGCATGTCAACCCATAAGGGCAGGGACTCTGTGAGTTCACTGCCATTTCCTTTGCACATTGAATGGCACACCAAAAATTGCTGGGGAATTAATTAATCCATAGCTGCCTCCAGTGAATGTATGCAGCACACATGGATTGAGCATCTACACTGAGCCAGGCCCATGATAGAGGCCTGGGGACCCAGCCGTCAATAACATGGATCCAGGCCCTGTCAAGTGGAAGAGGCAGAGAAAGACAGAGTCACATAGAAAATACATGCCTCCCCCGTGTGCTTAGAGCTACGACGGGAGTTCCGGGCTCTCGGAGCAGCTCCCCGTGCTCCTCCTGGGCTCCGGGCCTCTGCACGTGCTGCGGTCTCTGCCTGGCATGCCCGTGGCTCCCTTCTCAGCTCCCTCTGCCTCGACTCAAGGGTCCCAGCGGTGCCCTGCTATTTCCAGCTCTCGGCCCCCTCTCCCCACAGTCCCTCCTTCATAGTCTTCACGACAGCAGCCCAGGAGGGTTCCCTGACCACAGGCTGAAACAGGAGCCTCCTCTGCCCTCTTCTCACTGCCGCCCGGCCCTAGCTTTCCCCGGTTACAGCTCTCACTACACCAGGTGGCTAGGTTGTCATCACCTCCTCACACACCGACTCCCTCGCTCCACGTGAGCCTCTGCCTGCATTCTTTCCTTCCTGTTCCTTCCTCACTTGTTTCCCCTCCCTTCCTTCCTCCCTCTCTTCCTTCCTTCTTCCCTTCCTCCCTTCCTCCCTTCCTTCCTCAGCAAGCCCTGCTCTCGGCCTCCTCTGAGCCAGGCCTGGGCTGGGTGCTGGAGGCAGAACTCTAGACCAGGCCTGTTCACTTTGGTGCTGCCTGAGAGCAGGGACCACATTCACTTCACTTCCAGACGCCCAGTGCCCAGCACAGGCCTGGCCCAGAGCCTGCACTTATCAGTGCTTGTCGAAGTGAACAAAACAGAGGGCATGAATATCCTGTGCCTAGAATGGTAAGTCCCTGGAGAAGTTCACTAACTGAGGTGTCTGGTTTCCGTTTAGGGTCATCAGGCCCCAGTGGGAGGGCTGTCTATCTGTCCATCTGGACAGACACATGGGTAGAGGGAGGTGAGAGGCCCCACACTCCAAAGATCCCGCCTCTCGCATAACCTAGCCCGCACCCCCACTACCTTGTCTTTGGGTGTCTGCTTCTTGATGACCTTGGCTGCCAACTTGAGGCCGGTGGCTTTCTCTGTGCAGGTACAGACCGCTCCAAACTTGCCGCTGGAGAGAGACGAGGCTGGGAGTGACGGGGTTTCAGGGCCAAGGGCCGAGGGGGTCTGTGCTCTGTGCCCATCTGGGTCCCCACCGTGAGCTGGGGCCCTCGTCCCAGCCTGCCCTCACTCCCTCCTAAAGCTCTACTTCAGGGACAATGGCTGAACCACACAAACCGCGGGCACAGGAAGGGCAGGCTGATCCGCAGAGTGGTCCCTGAGGTGACAACCTGGAGCTCTGGGCCCCAGGGGAGGGAACCTTCAGGGCTTTTTACAAAGCAGGAGTCACCGGAGACCGACAGGAAACTACTGTCGCTCCTATAGGAAATACTGAATGGCCGGCGATGTGTCTGTGTGAGTGACAGTGACGTGACTAGGCATCAGCCACGTGACAGCTTGCACATGACAGGTGCAACCACCAGAAGCGATGTGTTCGCTGGGTCACGTCCAGTGGGGTGTGGCTGGGCCTTGCTCAGGGAAGACGCAAAGCCACAGGGACTTCGATGCTCTTCAGGGGCCCAGGGGCCCAGCTCTTACCCGCCCAGTGTCTCCTTGGAGTTCATGCTGAATTGGCTGTTGACATTCCCGGTCCTCAGCTCCACGATGCGGTGGGGGAAGGGGGCGGGGGGTGGCGGGCAATCGTCTGGAGGCAGAGCAGAGCCATCACAGTCAGTGCCAGGGGCGGCTGAGGATCCACCGGGCACTCCCCGCTCCCCCCCGCCGACTCCCTACTTCACCCCCCACCCCTCACCCCCACTCCACCCCTGCCTGGCCTGGGCGCATCCAGAGAAGTTCACTGAGTGCAACCTGGGGGACAGCTGGCTCCAGGACAGGGGCCAGGGGACTCGGTTTCCAATTTCAGCTCTGCCACCGCCATACAAAATGGCCTTGGGAGGCCTCCGCCTCTGACAGGGGGAGTCTCGCCTACTCCGGGCACCACCATGGGGATGGCCCATTAGATCCCTGGGACCACCCCCAAGCGACCTGCATCCCAAGCCATCTGCATTTCCATTGAAGAAAAAGGGGCCCGATAGGGTTACTATGTCTGATGGGGGCAGTGATGGGATCTGCCCACCATCCCCTCAAATA